ACGTAAAAGTTTCTGTACAACCAAAAAAAACGAAAAAATGTTTTCTAAATTGCATTATTACACACTAATTTTTAGAATTACAATTTGCCCAATGTAACCACCCCATGAATTGACCCAAAAATTCTGAGTTATTTGTATCTACATTGGTTATCTGGAAAAAAAACTCCACTCTGTCCAACCAGCTACATCTTTGTGCACTTGTGAGCCTTTGTAAACATGCTGAATCTGTTACATTGTGGAGTTTGTAGTGGTGGACTGCCTTTGGGTTTGATCATGATTTTCTCTTTTTCATTTCACTCAGGGAGGCAAGTCTGTGTAATTTTATTTATTTATGCCAAATACATCAGCTTCATAACAATTGGAGAGTGTTTGCTTTTGTTTTTTGTTGTTTGTTTTTTTTTGCTTTTGGCTTGAGCCTCATGATGAAGTTACATGTAATTCCCTTTCCAATGTCAAGATCTAAAATTAATTCACACATTGTATAGAAATATTTCATTGTGTTCTGGCTGATTTAGGTATGATTCTCCTTCATGTTATTGTCTGGCTACCCGTAGAAAGGCCTTACTTCTAAATTTCATGTACCCTTTATCAAAATGAATTGTTTATCATGATTAGTTAAAATTGTTTTGTTGAATTTTGTGACAGTGTTTTCACACTTCATCACTAATAGATTATCCTATCAAAAAATGGCAGTAGTCCTGTAATATCTTAAATTAGCAAGAAACTAATTTTGACAAAGCATTTGGCTATTCTTCAAATGATCTTGTGTTTTCACATGCTTTTCATTTGTTTACTTGCTCTGTGTGTATTTGTGTATCTGTGTGTATTTCATACAAATCAAAATTGACTCCAAACTCTCTATGTTGAATTATAGTTGTTCATAATGCTTTTTCTTGTTCCCTTGTTAACATTAGAAGTGTTAATGAACATTTTACACAAAAGACAATGCATAAAGGAAGTATGGTGGCTGGAAGCTACTAATAACTTCACAGTGCAAGAGCAAGAAAAATCCTCGCACAAGGTTAGATTGCAGGACATGCAAGAAAATAGAACATGACTTTTGGGGAAAGAAATTGCAAAACATCTTTTGGAAATAGGAAAGCAGATGGTGAAGGATAACTAGAGACAAGACCGAAAATAACAAAGGTTTTATGAAGGGAGAACACTGATAATAGGGAAAACTAAAACAAAGTCAAAACAATCAATAGGATTTTAGTCCCTTAATAAATGTGAAGCAAAATCCATCACCAGGTTAGGACACTTTTTTTGTTTTTTTTGTTAGGTAAATTAAATTAATTTAATGTGTTATTGCAGCAGCATTGTTGAGAAATCCAACTTATGACTTCATGTCATATTTTATATATA